TGACGGATCCTTCTCATCTTCGAACTCGACCAAGACATTGTTAAGACTGAACTGTGTAGAAAATTTCATCATGATCTGACTCTCCTTTCGAAAGTTATCATGTAAACGGTCGAACGGATGGACATACTGACCGATTCTAGAGTGTACTCACTTTTTGAGTACACAAAAACAAGTATAGAGGTATTAAATTAAATAGACAGATTAAAAAAACCAATGTAATCTTGCTTATTCTATTATTAATTATACAGAAAGTTTTTTTCATTGAGCTCAACTATCTATTATGTAAATTCATCAAGTTCATCTTTTATTTATAAACATTTATCTGCGTTATTTTTAAAGAAATAAAGTAAAAAAAAACATTCTCGATTTAAACTCGACAATAAAAAAAAAAACTTTCATTATTCGAAGTTATGTTGTTTTTATCTCGAGATTTTGAATTCTATTTTAGCATCAAGCACGTAATAATAATGTAGCTGATATAACAGCTAAATGTTCAAGTTTAGAAACAAGTAAGTCAAATAAATTAATACTTATTTAAAATAAACATTTCAATATATTTAGTGGTTAGTCTAATTGCTTTATTTATTAATGTTATTCTTCTTTCAATTCTTCCATTAAGTTTTATTTGGCCAATATTTATTATTTTAACTATAGGCCATCTATGGGCAAATTATAAAGCAAAACGATGTATTTTATTTAATGTATTTAATCATCAACGTTTTCATCTTGTTTGTTCCGAATATTTTAAAACAAATGGTAAACATATTCTTTCTATTAAACAAGTTAATGATCAAGAACCAATTTTATTTACAACATCACAATCACATTATTCATATTTAGGTGTATCATTAAATCGTATACCTAAACATATATTTCCATCTCAAGAAGAATTAGAAAATTTCCATAATAATGAATATGAACGTTTTTTATTATTATGTGATAAACAAAAGAATACATTCTATGCTTTACTTAAACCATATTCAGATAATGATGATTTAATTCGATTAAATTTTTTTATTGAATTACTTTCCTATGCTATGAAATCACCAATACCAATTGATGATTCTAATGAAGGATTACATATACTAATTAATCGTGTAGAAAAACAAATATCTAATTTACATATATGTTTAGATATATTACATGAGAATAATAATCAATGTTATGAACAATTTAAAGAAATTTGTATTCAACATGGTTATAATTTTCATCGGTGTCTTTTCAATGTTGATGTTTTTCGACTTCAGTAATATTGTTGCTATTCTAGTTTGTTTTTTTTTCGCCATAGAAAATCTCGCTCAATTTATTTATTCCTGCAATTTTCATGATATAACCTACGGAACAAATTCTTGTCATTTTTTTTTATATATAGAGTTGTTATTTGTTATTCAAAATGTTTTGGTTTATATTTTTTGAGAATTTTTTTTTTGTGATGAAATAAATAACTCTTAATCATGCTGAATCTTGATGTTTTTGATGGAAACTGCCTCAAAAGAAAAAACGAAACACTTGATAAAAAGTCACAAAGAAAATGTTGATACACACTAGAATCACCGTCAACGTGTTTCAAACAAGTGATCTAGACTACAAGAGCGAAAGAAAACACTTCAGAATTTCACATAACTTTTGGAAATAAAAAGACAAAACACAAATGTTAAATATGATATGACCTAGACATACGCAAAACAACAATAAAGAAAACAATAACAAAACAAAAAAAAAGAAGAGAGAATTGTTCATAGTTCTTATACGTAAAAACGAATCCATTAAGCTTTCTTCTCCCTAGAAAAACCAACAAGAAAAAAAAACAATCATAAATATAAATCAATTTCATTTAACTTACCGTTGAGCAGCTAATGTTGATAATACTCGATGACCAAAAAGAAATAATGGTATAGAAATTAAGGCCAAATAACGAATTGTTTGAAACATATCCAAATATTTCCAATAGAAAAACATCAAAGCAAAAGCAGCTAAAAATATTAAAAAATTTTATTTATATTTCTTTTCAACATTGAATCTTTATTTACCTCCATGTGATATATGAAAACCTAATGGACTAAGTCCTAATGGTAATCCGGACAGATTAAAGCCAAGTTTAAGCCACTATTAATACAGAAAAAAATAGAGTTATTTAAATCAATCAAAAAATCTTTTTCTTACTAAAATAAAAAGAATTAATAATGG